GGGGGATTGACTAACCAATTGTCGAATTCAACTTAATGGGTGTATCTCATTACTGATAATGCTAATTCGCCGCAGGTAAAGTGGACTATAAGTAAGGCAACTTTCTCTCGAACAATTACCTTATTTGTGTTGAGTTCTCTCAAACCTCAACACGACCTATGATATGACCAGCCCATGTTCTCATCAAATCCACTCTCTCAAGCTGGATACAAAGGCTAGCTCTTGGATTTCACTTTCTCAAGCTGAAATCTTCAAGACCCACTACTAAGGATGCCAAATTACTACGTTGGTTCCGTACTTCTCTCTCGAGCAAGCACAAAACTCTGAAATCGATCACACTGAATATGCAATATGGAAGTTAAACCACCATAATAATTTAGACCTGCTTGGGATTAACACCAACATTCACTAATCGATAACACCCATTTAGTAAAATTCAACAATCAGTCACATTGTCAAACCCCCAAGGTTAAGGTTTTAGCCAATCATAGTGAAAAGACGAAATTCAATATCTTCCATGTTTTTCATAGCTGAGTAAATGAAATTCAAAAGATAAAATTCACTAAAATCATCTCTATTAAAAAATTCAAATAGGAAACCTTGCTAAAATCCCTTGAAATCCACAATAGTAGTGTTTTTGCTCTCAATATTTTGTTCCTCACATTTATGAATGCCTTCTCTCTCTTCCAAAAGTCAATTTATGCAAGTCTGATGTGTGGCTGTTTGGGATCAATTGGCGAGGTAAGGCGGGCTTCGCCGACTGTTTGGCGACTCGCTGATTTTGCTTCGTCTCGCCTTCATTGTTCACCTCTTCTAAGTCCAACACTGTAATTTTAGGCGAGCCAGATCGAGATCGCCGAGTGATTCCACGATGCGCCCTTTTTCCTTTCATCTCGCCCATCACACTTATCTGGGTCTCCATTAGTATTTTTGGCGACCTGGTCATCTATCGCCGATACGATCGGCGTCACGCCGAGCGGAGCTGCTGCTCGGCAAAGTTACCCCTCATCCAGCCTCAACGTTTTGTAACTTTAGGCTATAAAGTGGCAACTTGGCAAGTCAGCGAGTGACATCTGCGGTCATCAGGAGACATCGACGATCATTAGGCTTGTTTTTCCCTTTTCCTTTTCGCCTGTGTTATCTGTATTGCCCATTTCTGTCCTAGCTTTGTTCCTCAATCCATATATCTGAAGATCAAGAGTTCTACATAAGTTGTTGGCATGAAGTAAGCATTTGAGGACACTAAAACATTATAAATAGAGCCCTAAATGTGTCCAAATCTCGTACTCATCAACACCCCCAACGTACACTTTTGCTTGTCCTCAAGTAAAACTCAAGTTTAACAGTTCAAAAAGGATGCCGTACACAGTGCTACATAAGACAATCATGAATGCACACAACAAGACTCAACTTACTCATGCAAGGATCAATTATGCTCTCAAAGACTCAAGTTGCGACTCACCAATATCAAAGATTCTCAAGTTCACATACTTGCTTCAAATGCAAGTTCAAGCTCAACAAAGATACTTAAATGCCCTCACACAAAGATGATTCCATATTCACACATAATTGTTCAACAATTTATAGCTTCAGAATCACAAACAATCCTCACACTCACAAAGATGAACACATGCATTACTCCACCCATAGGTTTGCCCATATTTTCCAACCAACATTTGTTTCAGGTCACTCAAGATCAGAAAGGTCTTTTCAAGGCTTGTAACGGGGCTGAGTGTAAAGGTATGGTCATTTAGGCTCAGTTGCTAGTATCCTCATGAAATGTGTTATGAATCAACACCTCCTTTTCTTTTCTTCATCATTCTCAATATTCATGCTCAAAATTCACCCCATTATTTACTTTCCATGAAACACCGGACATCCCATTTCTTTTGCACTTTCACAATTTTATTCCACAACTTTTTTCATTTTTTTTCTTTTTTCTTTTTTTTTTGTATGGAGGGGTCCATCTTTCTCAAAACCATGGGTCAAGGGGGAATTCTTTGCACCTCTTGATCTACCTTCTCTTTTCGCCACACCCCCAACTTAGGCTTTTGCCCTAAGTTGGCTATTCAACAAACCACACTTTATGAGGATTATTGGTGAAGGGATAAAGAAGTGTCTCATTTGCATCAAGTTTCTTCCAAGAAAAAGGTTAAGGCTCAAAGGGTGTTCAAGAAAATTTCACACAGTCACAAAGTAGGCCACAAAAGAGGTATAATGTCAAATTCTTTCACTCTTTGAAATTGTTGACTAAGATCATTTCAAGATCTTGCATCACTTAGTCAACGGGACCAACGGGGAAATTTCTAGGTGTCATTAAACATGGTTCACAGTAAGCCCATCACACAAAGCATTGGCACCAATATCAAGCAAGACTCCACACTTTCTCTAGTGTGCAATGTTCATCACAAGAGACTCAATTAGATAATCGGCTAGTCACAATGAGAAGCAAAAAGTTTACATATTATTTATGCAACTTCATTTGGCCTCATCATAGCCGCACATTCATTTTGGTTCGATTGAGAGCACCATTCAAGTAATTGGTATTGATCATAACCGATAATCAAATTTGCACAAGAAAAACAACAATTAATCACACAAGAGGTGCACACAAAGGGACTCACTGTCACTGACCAAGCACACACTCCCACCAAAAACATTCAACATTGCCCCCAATGTGAGTAGAAAACAGACACTCCCACAAATAAAAAAAATAAAAACTAACAAATACAGATAAAATTCTAGTATGTAAACATGCAGAGCAAGGTGACGTGGAATCTTCACTAAGCACCCAGTTGGCGAGAAAATGAAACAGTCGCCGAATGCCTCAATGGTCCGCCTAATGGTCCAGATATCACTCTTAGTTCCAGTGTGTGACACTCTCAGAAAGAAGAAAATCGGCGGATATGAAGGAAGTCGCCGAATAGGTCGGCGCTTTACATAATGGACTTGTAACATCCACGAATAATCATTGAGTTAAGCTATCAGCACTGCAGTAGAAGGGTGTGAAAAATTGGGTCGCCTAAGCACATCGGCGATTCACCAAGTCACGAAGGTCTCCCGCCTAATGTTCTAGTATCTCAACTCCATCTTTGAAGTCCATAAGGCGGACTATGTTGTGTTTGCCAAACGGATTTGGCGATCCACCAATAGAATCTTCTTCTCAAACAATATCTTGCACCTGCAAAATCAACACACATTACTTAAAACACTAACACTTGGGTTGCCTCCCAAGAAGCGCCTTATTTAACGTCGTGGCACGACATGGAAATTCTCTCAAGAATCTTCCAAGTACACCACCTCAATCAGAGAAATCTCTTGGCACTCGCCAAAGTATAACTTCAAGCATTGCCTGTTCACCTTGAATGTAGGTCCTTCTTGACCTTCAACTTCGATGGCACCATTTGTGAACACTCGTGTCACTCTAAACAGCCGTGACCATTTGGACTTGAACTTTCCCGAAAAGAGTCTAAGTCGAGAGTTATATAGTAACACCTAGTCTCCAAATCTGAACTCCCTCTTTAGGATTTTAGAATCATGTCATTTCTTCATAACCTTGTAAAGGGCTGAACTTTCGTAAGCCTTGAACCTGATCCATCCAACTCATTTAACTGCTCTATTCTCTCTTTTGAAGTCTTCGTCCATTCCAGAGTTAGAGCTTTCAATACTCATAATGCTTTATGTTCCAATTCAACTGGTAGATGGAAAGATTTACCGAAAACTAGCTGATACAGAGACATATCAATTGGTGTTTTGTATGCGGTACGATACGCCCATAGCGTGCCATCAAGCTTTCAAGACCAATCAGTCCTGTTAGCATTCACTGTCTTGGACAAGATGCTTTTGATTTCCCGGTTTGACACTTCAACTTGGCCACTCGTTTGGGGATGCTACAGAGTTTCTACTTTGTGTTTCACTCCATACTCACTCAATGCGGCTGAGAACCACTTATTGCAAAAGTGGGATCCCCCATCACTAATATTAGCCCGAGGAGTACCAAATCTAGCAAAGATGTAGCGCTTCAGAAACGAAACAACACTTTTCCCTTCATTGTTTGGAAGTGCAATAGCCTCTACCCATTTAGAGACATAATATACGGCCACCAAGATATACTTATTACCAAACGAACTCACAAATGGGCCCATGAAATCTATTCCCCAAACATCAAATAGCTCAACTTCTAAAATGGGTGTAAGAGGTAACTCGTGTCTTTTGGACACTTCACCTTGCTTCTGACATTGAGTGCACTTCTTAACAAACTTATGGGGATCTTTGTAGATGGATGACCAGTAGTAACAACTATGAAGGACTTTAGCAGCTGTACGTACACCACCATGATGACCCCCAACGGGTGAAGCATGACAAGAATGGATAATTTTGTTGGCTTTTTCTTTCGGAACACATCTCCTAATGATATGGTCTGCACAATCTCTGAATAGATACGGTTTATCCCAAAAGTACTTCTTAACATCGAACAAGAACTCTTTTTGTTGGTAGAAATTCAGTTCGTCCGACATTAATCCACACACTATGTAATTGGCAAAATCAGCATACAAATGAGGTTGTTTGAGATGTATAGTGAATACCTGTTCATCGGGAAAATAATCATTTATGTCGATCTCCAGCTCATCATTTTCCTTGCCTTCCAATCTTAATAAGTGATCAGCCACCTGATTTTCACAACCTCTCCTATCTTTGACCTCAAAGTCAAACTCTTGCAATAGTAGCACCCATCTTATCAATCTTGCCTTGGCATCCTTCTTTGCCATCAAATAACGCAGTGCAACATGATCAGTGTGAAAAACCACTTTAGTACCTAGCAAGTATGCCCGGAACTTCTCAAACCCATAAACTACCGCAAATAAGTCTTGTTGTGTAACTATATAGTTACGTTGGGCACTGTTTAGATATTTTCTTGCGTAGTAAATGGGGTACAATAGTTTGTTGAATTTTTGCCCCAATACAACACCTAATGCCGTGCTGCTTGCATCACACATTACTTAGAAAGATTCTGACCAATCGGGACTAATGATAACCGGGGTGGAGACCAATTTTTGTTTCAAGCACTTGAAAGCCACCATGCAAACATCATCAAAGAGGAATTTCACCTCCTTCTCCAAGAGTTTGCATAAAGGATGTGCAATCTTTGAGAAGTCTTTGATGAACCTCTGATAAAAACCGGCATGTCCCAAGAAACTACGAACACTCTTCACCGAAATTGGTGGTGGTATCTTTTCAATCACTTCAATCTTTCCTTTATCAACCTCCATCCACTTTTTCGACACTTTGTGATCATGAACTATACCTTCCTTAACCATGAAGTGGCATTTTTCCCAATTTAGGACCAGATTTGTCTCCACATATCTTTGGAGAACTAGCCATAAGTGTGCTAAACATGCTTCAAAAGTGTCACCCACAACTGAGAAGTAATCCAGGAATACCTCCATTGAATCCTCCACCATGTTAGCAAAAATAGATAACATGCAACGTTGAAATGTGTCTAGGGCATTACATAACCCGAATGTCATCCGTTTGAAGTAAAAAGTACCACATGTGCAGGTGAAGGTGGTTTTCTCTTGGTCTTCTAGAGCAATGGAGATTTGGTTATAACTGGAATACCCATCCAGAAAGCAATACCACCCTCTATCGGAGAGTCGATCAAGCATTTGATCCATGAAGGGCATGGGAAAGTGATCATTTTCAGTCCACAAATTTTACTTTCTGTAATCCATGCATACTCTCCACCCGGTCACCGGTCTCATAGATACAAGATCCCCCTTTTCATTTGGTACTACTCTGATGCCTCCTTTTTTCGGTACACATTGTACCAAACTTAACCAATTTCTATCCACAATAGGATAGTTCACACCAACATCCAACCACTTTATTATCTCCCTTTTCACCACCTCTTGCATCGGTGGATTCAATCTCCGCTGATGTTCAATACTCGGCCTACAATCACTATCAAGCTGAATTTTGTGAGTGCAAATATCGGGAGTAATGCCCACTATGTCAGCGATAGTCCAACCTATAACTTTTATATGCCTTCTCAACACTCAAGGAGCAATTTTACCTGCCATTCAAGCAAGTTAGTTGCGATGATCACCGGTGAGGTGTTATTTGATCCCAAGAGAGCATATCGGAGATGGGAGGGAAGCACTTTCAACTCCAGATTTGGTGGTTCTTCTATTGATGGCTTTGCGGGAGAAATTTCTCAATTTTTTAGATCAATGTTCAACTTCAATGGAGTCTTTGAATACCCCCAAGCTTGAAAGAGCGGCTACTACCTCTTCATACCCTTGAATTTCGAATTCATCATAGTTAGCAAGCACAGATTCAAGTGGTTCGCTCATACACATCAAATGGCTCACACTAGCCACCGCCTCATCAATAACATCAATAGTGGAGACCACGTGAATATCCCTTGGGTGTTTCATTGACTTACAAACATTAAAGGTTACTTCATCTTCGTTCACTCGAAATTTCAGCTCTGCACTTTCAACATCCACTAACACTCTCCCGGTTGCCAAGAATGGTCTTCCCAAAATTATGGGAATTTCAACATCTATTTCACAATCGAGGATGATAAAATCAGCCGGGAAAATGAATCGGTCAACCTTTACCAAGATGTCATATAGTATCCCCACATGATGTTTAATTGATCTGTCCGCCATCAAGAGTCTCATTGTTGTGGCTTTCGGTTCACCTAACCCAAGTTGTTTATAGATTCCATATGGCATTAAGTTGATGCTTGCTCCCAAATCGCATAGGGATTTTGCAAATTGGTGCATGTCGATGGTGCAAGGGATAGTGAACGTTTCGGGGTCTTCTCTCTTTTTAATCATCTCCTTAGTCATAATTGCACTACAACTATAAGAAACTTCGATTGTCTAAAAATCCAAGCTCCTCTTCTTTCTGACTAACTCCTTCATAAACTTGGCAAACCCGACATTTCCAACAATGCTTCCACTAGAGGAAGATTAATTGATAATGTCTTGAATACTAATAAAAACTTCTTGAACTTCTCATTCTCATTCTTCTTCTTGAGACGTTGGGGAAATGGAGGAGATATTTTGGGTAAAGGTTGCATAACTTTTGGGATTATATTGTGTTTCTCCACATCTTTTTGTAGCCCTTTGGAAATGCTTTGATGGATATGTGTATCTTCTTCCTCCATACCTTTGTATTCTTCATGCCTTTGAGCTTCTTCATTGCCCATCACATCACCTATTGATACCTTTCCACTACGAGTAACCACAACCAACCCTCTATCATCATCTTCCATTCTCATTTTTGGTTTCAATTGTGCTGAAAGTACACTCAACTGTCCTTCAAGTATCTTGATTATATCTGTGTGAGAGTTCACTTTATTGTTCAATGATTAAAGTCAACTTTCATCTCTTTTAGCAAATCATCCGAACCTTCAACTTTATCGAGGATGTGTGACAACAAATCATTCACCCGGGGACTACTTGCACTCCCTTTCGATTTTGGACTCTCACTCGAGTGAGTGTGGTTCTCGTCATGGTCATCCTCCCTTTTCCAATAATTAGTTTGCTCAGCCCAATCTTGATAGTATCTTCTTTGATCTTTCCCCTTGTGATAGTTCCAACCTTGATTCCCACCTCACTGTAAATAGCGTGGGTGGAAACCCTCCTATTATCTCTTGGAGTTCCAATCTTGATTCTCCCCTGGCTTTGAATAATCTGAGGAAGAACCCTCCGCAACTCTAAACACTCCACATGTCCCCTTGGGCTTTCCCACATTCTCCATCATATGCTCTTGTAATAGCTC